TAACAGAAAAAACTGTTTGGAAAATAGAAATAAAAAAACAACATTTTTAAATATACAGAAGTTTACCTTTTCAGTTATTTAAAATAAAAATTACTGTTTTCACCTGGATCCTCCGACAGTACGTTTGCTTCGTTAACTTGTACAGTAGGAGTTGCGACCAAGCGACTCCATGGACCATGAAAGAACTTCAACTGCAGCATGGCGACGACATAAAATGAGAGTGGTGCTAACAGACGAGTGAACAACGTACTGTAACTACCAAAAAACTAATTACAATTTAGAAAATAAAACATTAAAGAAAACTGAAGTGATAACATTGAAAAAAAAAGAAGAATAGAAGAACACACACACTTCTGTCAACGCTCTTTTTCATGTCAAAAAAACGTTTCAAAATATTTCTAACCCGGTGGTTGCGTCCCTTCCGTAATTAATGAGACCAATGTCATAACTCCAATCGTCACTCAGCCCAGTAAACCTTTTCCACTTTTCAGGGACCCCAGGAAACTGGTAGCAATATATTAAAATTAAAACTATTGAGGTATAAATAATCGCTAGAGTCCAGAAGATGTGTAATATCCTCCGATATAACTGCAGCGAAATCTAAATAACAACTTGTTGCAGGCGTATAACAAACGATAAAATCCACAGATATTGAAATACATTAAACACTGAAAACTCCCCAAAAGAAAAAGAAAAAGAAAAAAAAAAGTACAGGAATCTTTTGAAATTTTCTATGTAACAAAGTTTTTTACCAGAAACAATAAGATGCTGAGCGAAAAAATAAGAAAATATCCAACGGTAAAAAGAACAGGCGGATTCTGCAAAGAAGTCCACAAAATTACTATATGAACCACAAATATCCAATACTTCGTCAATATTTCCGTCAGAAGAGATACTGCTTGAGCTCCACGTGATTCATCCTGGAGATTTTATAACTCTTATAAATTTTTTTTTGTAAACAGAATGTTAACAGAGCCATTTAAATAATTGAAAGATAACAACATACCGAACCAACAATAATGATAAAATATAACAAGAACCGCTCAGTTCTAAAGATGTAACCAGTGTAATTAACTCTATTTATCAAAAGAGCGAAGAACAACAGAAAATGATAGTGATATAGCAAACTTCTCCCCTTAGCTCTCAAAAGGAGAGATAATTAATATTGTCAATTCTATCCCTAAACTACTGCATACCAAAGAATCTGGCTGTCCAGCAGCGTTAGCATTAACACTTGCTCCAGACGCAAATGTTCCATAGGATAGCCATCTCGCCCTTTCTCGCACATTCAAGTTTTCGTAGTACTTCTCACGACAATGATGTCGATAAAGGATAAAAAGAGGAAGACACAATAAACACTAAAATGTACTTTCAAATTATTTACTTTTACCAAAATTAATTGTATCGCTTTATATTTAAGTAGTTTAAGAAACTCAGAATTCTAACCCTCCACTGAAGTTTGTGCGACAATTTGAGTAACAACTAAACTATAACTTTATGCAACAAAAAAAGTCCAAGTAAAAAGTAGACCCGTTTCTGAGACAGTAAAAGTAAGAATAAAGCAAAATATCATTGCAGAACACTAAACAAGGTTCGATATGTAATACTATACCGGTTTAAGCAATTTGAATTTAATCGCTAATTGAAAGAATATAATAAGAACTGCGACCTTCAATTTAAATCAGTGATAAGATTAATTTCAAAATTTCCAGAACTAAACGTTCATTTCTGATTTTAAATCCTGACCATTACGCAAATCTAAAAAACTCAAAAAAATAGACAAGTATCTATCCTTACAAAAAAGAACCAATAAGAAAATTTGGTCAGAGAAAGGAAGCAAGCATCTTTAAAATTAAAAGTAGATTAGTGGAGAAAACAGTAAGTTTAGACGCCAAATCGCAGAAAAGCCCTGTCCAACAAGGCCGAAGAGAAAAAAAAATTAAACGGTGCAGCGACCCGGCAGGGGGCAGCAATAAACATAAAACAGGTGAAGATACCCCATTCGATTGCACTTCTCACAGCGTTCCAACCGGTTTTGTTGCAAATTATTTAGAACTAAATAGAAAAACAGAAATTCCGAAAAAAATTTAACGAGCATAAAATTTCTCTTTTTTTTATTCTGTTAATCTTTGACGTAACGATTAAGTTATTACTGAAAAATAACAACACACAATGAAAATTCAATAATAAAGCCAAATATAACGAGCAACAGCTAAGAGAAATTTTTCAAGATTAAAAATCCCCCCAAAAAAACACCAAATTTCATCGGCAATAGTACTGTCGAAAACACTGGCTTTGCCAATCAAAAACAGGATTCATCACAGTCACAGTCTGTACATGAAGTAAAAAAAGATTCTAAATAGTAAGTTGTTGGTTACAAGAGAGAAAAGCTAAACTTTGAGATAACAGCTCTTGCCAATACAGGCAGACTGCGAAATGATGCAAGATGATACTACAGTAAATTAAGAAAGTGAATAGCTTGGTATTCTAAATATATTCCCTGCCGCTCACATCACATAAATATTTTGAAGCGTCGCATAAAATTTTTTTAAAATTTTCAAACTCTTACTAGAGAGACGAAAAAGTGGAACTGAAATTTAGAAGAAAAAGTATACAGAAGAAAAAAGTGAAAAAAGCTCATTATCTGTCAAAAACCTATTAAGTGGTAACTTTAAAATGACTGTCGCTTCTTTACACCGCAAGGATTAGAAACAAGAAAATACAATTCTACTCTGTCGCATGACCAAAAAGAGTATTACTAAAACAACAACAACGACAAAAAAAAAAAAGACCAAAAGCAAAACTGTTCGTTTTTTCACTTTTCAAGAACGACGTACTGTACAAAACATCAGAAACGTCACATATCAAAAAAATTAGATTGACTAACCAAATAAAAGAAAAAAGTAATTTGTAAGTTCAACTGCAGCAAACAGACTTAATAAGAACGATACCTTTAAAACGTTTGGTTTCCTGACTTTGAAAAACGTTTGGAATCAGTGAGAATAAGTGGTAGTAAATGAAAAAACCTAACAATATGGGTTATCCAGAAACAAAGGTACATAACAAGACTTTCATCTTTAAAATTCTAATAAAACATTTTATGCCATACTGCGCGTATTATTTCAACTAACTTCCCAAAATGCTCTTAAAATTTATCTACCTTGTAATAATTAACTTTAAATTTAAAAAATCTGACAGAAAATTTGGGGAAATACATTCCAATCAAGCCACAACTAGTCAAAATTAGACAAGATGTCAGTTTATGGTTGAAAAAACATGCTTACCGCAATTTATAGTTTAGAAAAGTCCAGATACTATAGTTTCTTTGAAAAAGCTACATTTCAGCACAACCTTTACAAATTTATAACGCAAATGCTGACTAATAATTTCAATAAAACTTTAACTTCCGATTTCACACATCACAAAACAAAAGTTTTCACAAATCGCTCGTTTAAGGAATTTAAAGAACCATTTCTTAAATGGAACTTGTATGTCTTTTTATTTAAATGTTAACCTCTTCAGTAGAAATACCCCTTAAAATCCTTAGGGTTCCAATACAGGTGCGCAAAACTAAAAATTTCGGAAGGTAGATATATAATATTAGGAGTCAGCACCATTAAAGAGCAAAGAGAAGAAAGTTGAGACATTAAATGGAAAGTGCTCATTTCCGGACTAAACTACCCCAAACCCGTTCTAAAAGTTAATTCGAATAGTAAATATGAGTTTTCATAAAAAAAATCGAATAACTCTTGAAACAAATAAAAGTTTTACTTTGACAAGCAGAACAAAAAATGCGTCTTCTCTGTTGGTAGCTTTTATGAAGCCAATCCAATTGATCAGATCTGCACTTGGTAATTTATCAGCAATATCCATACTGCATACGTACTGTGCAGTAAGAAGAAACTGAAATAAAAACTATTATTTAACAATAAATTAAAAGAATAATCATCCTAAAATTCAAAAACATTAAATACAAATGCAGAATTGTTAATATTGGTATTGAGCATACTTCTCCATAAGCTAAAATGACTGCAGAAACCGTCATAGCAGCAGAACGAGTATCTTTGAAAACCCACAAAAAACAAGCTGCCAGTAAAAATATAAGCCCAAAAACTGAATGGTACCACAAAGACCATAACTAAAAGCAAGTTTGAAATTTCAATTCAAAATATCACGACCGCAAGAGATAAGCTTTTTAAAACAACAATTTAATGAATAACCGCACCACTGTTAAAAATAAAAAAATAAACAAACTTGACTCATTTTAGCAAAACTTACCATCATGGCAAGAAGGGCAAAAACATAACTATGGTACAAAATGAAAGAAAGGACAGTGATGAGCCCCTGAGAAGTCAATGTTTCCCTCCCGTCGACCCCTTAAAATGATAGTGTAAGACCATTACTATAACTTTACTGTAAACAAATTGGAAGTAGCTACCTTTAAATATGCACGAGACTTGTTGACGGTAAAGAGTCGATGACCGCATTCTTTGTAACTCCATTTGTTCTCTGGCTCCACCTTCATCACTCTCAGCAAGCAGCTGTAAAGCAAACGTCTTAACCAAAATTACATTCAATTCACAAGCAAGTATCAAAGAAGAAGCACAGAACGGAAAGTTACAGAAAACTGTGAAAGTGAATTCCAGACAGAAGAGTGATAAACAGTCACCAAAAAAAAAAAAAAAGATGCTGAAGTGAAAAACCACACAGAAATGAAGCAAAAAATATGTGAGATTTGTTAACAGGAATATGGTGAATGCATACAACAATGCGCTTAATTAAAATGCGTTAAAAAAATAGAGATCTGACTGGAAAAAAAGCAGAAAAACATCAAGATAAAGTTCACTGTTATTACCACGTTCGCAAAACAAACTTGCGAACCAGACTCGTCAACATCATGGACCTCACGTTTAATAACAGGATTGCTCTCAACTGGTTCTGTGTTGGTGAAATTCTATAAGAATTGTCAACTCCATATAGTAAAAAAGATCAAAAAGTCCATAAAGTTTTAATACAGTAAAAGCCGAAAAAGTAAAACCAAGAATAAGAAAAAAATTACTCTCAGGCATAAAAAAATGTTGTTTAAATAATAACCAAAGACCCAAATTCCTCAAACTGAAACTCCTCCCAAAAACAACAACAAAATTTTTTTACAAAAGGAACCTTAAAGCCAAGCCGAAATAAGTTGATAAGAGTTGAGAACACAAACCAATCTGATGCACATGAATATAGTATAAGCAAAAGGATAAATATCATTTATACCACACAAGTATTAGGATAACGACGAAGCATTTAAGCAAGCGAAGAAAAAAACAAAGATCTAGCTCTAAACCAAAAAAAACTTACATCCTCATGAACACTGCTACTCCCACTAGTTGGTTGCAGCGACTTATGAAGTACTCCAAATCTTGTCCAACAAAATTGTGTGATGACAAGATAATAAACGAAAAGAACTAGAACAAAATTAGCAAAGTGGGTCCAGGGATTCATTTTGTTAATTTCCAGATCCCACCAAGACGAACAGTTAACGGTTAATAAGGGTGAAAAACCAATCAACCTGAAAAATAAGATGTAAATACCAAAAGCGAAAGGAGAGGTGGATATAACCCCTAATGTACATTAGCCCCAAAAAAGCTAGTAAAATTTTAAATTGCTTAAAGGTTGATGACGTTATTTTTTGTCGAATTTTTCTTTCCAAAAATGGAATATTTCATTGTGAAACAAATAACTCAAGTAAGAATTGAAATCCTTTTCGAAAAAACCGAAAATTAGAAATTTTGAAGAATAACTTTACTTTTAAGTTAGATGTTTGTAAAAAAAGTGTCCTGAAATGAAAGTTTTAAAAAAGAGATATACCTCTCATAAAAATGGTTGTCTGCAGTAAGAAATATTTGGAAATAAGGAATCTGATACATATAAATCAGAATGAAATGAGATGCTGCATAAAGAATCAGAAATCGCTTCATCCTATTATGCACAGTCCTAGTGAACGGTATATATGTGCTATACCAAGACATGATAAATAAAAATACTAGGAAATAGACTGCATTCAACAAACTTGGCTAAATTAAAATGAGATCAGCGTAATACAACAGTTAAAAATCAATAACAAATTTAACTAAAAAATAATAGTAACCTGAATTATACCGGCAATCAGAACCATAAAAACCACCACAACATCTGAAGCTCTTCTAAGACCCAAGATAAGGCCGTTTGCAATAGATGTGATTCTAACTGCTGACAAGGACGACCTACAAGCAAATATTTGAAAAGTAAGAAATATATTTTTTTTTAAAGGAGACAGAGTATAACAATGACAGGTACATCAATAGGGCCCACCTGGAGGCATCGCGCACAGAAACTATGTTGGGACGAGGTGAGAACTCAATTCTACGTTCTTTCATGCCAACGCAGACGACCAGGGCAAGCAAGGAAAAAAGAAAGGAAAGGATTTCTGGAAAAATAACACGTGTGGCACGGAAACCAAGATCCGTTCTGATCCTGAAAAGAAATCTAAGAGCGTTAAAGCAGAAGTTACCTCAGACAAATAACCATTTCAAACAGTAAACACAAAGAAGTACCTTATCAATCCGAGCTGGTTCATCCAGTAGCGATAGTCAGACCTGTCACAAAAGTCAACTTTGTCAAAATTATGTGAAGTTACGGCATACACCTGATATATTAACTGTAGTAGTGAAGCAAGCAGCGAGACGGCAAAGGTTACGAACAAGTATGTTTTAGTAGCCGCAGGTACTCGACTTGTAATTGAAGGTAACAAAGGAGCAATCAAGGCTAATCCAACATAAAGCAGTGATATAAAACTAGGCCGGAGAAATGCTCCTATAATTTGTCAAATCATACTTTACACCATCACTTTTAATACCTTTTAGATACGAAACCCCTATCCTGAGCAGAATTTTTTTCTTAAAAGAAACTTCCCCCTCCGCTTAACTGTTTCCACCGTTCACCCTCCTTTTCTCTCCGTTCTACTCCTTCTAATATGCTCATAGTTTTAGCCTCAATGACTTTACAGAGAAAATCACACAAGTAGTCTTCTATTAATACTCGCATGCTTAATCTACAGAATAAAACTCGTATTTTCTATTCTAGCCTATACAGTTCACTAAAAGCATTTAAAAAATGCCTTCTCAAGGAAGACTGTTCTAGAAGACGCTGAATTAAAAACTAACCTATTAGAAGAGCACCAGGCAGGACTAGTCTAAGCACCACCGCTTGAAAAGCGTTGATTATAGACATTCTGCGATATTGCGTTCTACCCTTTTCTACAGAAGCAAACTCGGATCAGTTTTAAGCATCGGATGCAAATTCGAGTCGCTCTAGAAGAAAGCAAGAACAAATTAACTTATCTGAAAGCAAAAAAACGATAAGTTTTTCGTTGACAGTACGGTAGAACCACAACACATAAAATCAAGAATAGAAACAACTAAACTTTAAAGAGGAACGTTAAGCAATATGAAATTTATCCATTTAAACCGTCTGACTATCTTAAACATTTTATTTAGCCATGCTCAAATCTAGCCAGTTGTAATTAACCATCGCTTATCTATTAAACCACGAAATCAACTATTCACATCAAACAACGAATATAACAAAACAGAATCGGAAAGCCAAATAAGTGTCCAGTGTTCAGTTGCAGATAAAGCGAATGAATTAAATATAAGAGTGAAAAAAAAAAAAAAAAAATGAAGGTGTGAAATTATGTAAATTGCTTCAAAGATTATCGTACAAAATTAGAAAATAGAAGTAAAAAAAAACGCTTTCTACCAAAAAAAAAAGTCGATGAAAAGTACGGTCGAGATTAAATAATTATTCAATACTCGACCAAGTGCAGTAAACTACAAATATAGAATGCCTAAAAAACGACTTCAGAGTGTTTCAAGTGCTGGTCACTTAACACTTTTTAAAGTGTATAATTTGTCCATATTTTGCTGCTGCTTAATTAACAACCTGTATTTTTCAGTACACCAAAAAAAACTGCACTACTGAACGTCAAGGAGAGTACACCGTTGTAACAAAATTACAATGTTCGGACAGTCATCCTGCCGGTACTGGTGCAGTTTGGCTATGCTTTTAGGAGAACTGACATCACTTAAAAGCAAAACAAATAAAGTTAAGACGTAGTCAATGAGTCCTACTAGCTATAACTTTTGAACCAACAATTGTGCGAACAAATCGGCTTCAGTACTCTAAATCAATCTGTAACATGCCAAATGTCGCCACCAATCAAGCGCATCCACATCGTTTATGCACAGTTAAGGATGAAAGGGTATATCCAAAGTTCTAATATCTAAAAAGATAAAATTGCCATACTAAGGAAAAGTAAAAAAACAATTGTTGAACAATTATTTCTTGATGCTTAAATCTAAGTAAAAACTTTTGCTCAACTGTTTTCAGAAAATTTTAATTCCCAATTTCTGCACCTATTTCCGTTGACAGTTTATAGCAAAAATTGCACGGCTAACTACAATTTGAAAAAAAAAAAAAGAACGAG